CTCCTTCACTTTCAACCCCTGTCGCTGTGAAGAGCAGCCGTGGTGGCTGATTTATTAAACTCCCTAGCCATTACCGTTAGGTATTTCATTTATTTGTTTATTTGGTGTGTTTTACACATGTAATGGGTTTCACAATTTGTGTTTTTGGTGTTTGTGACATTCTGTGTGTTCGGGGAGGGCCTGTGTGGGGGACACTTTCACGTCAGTGCTCTTATTGTGAAAAGGACATAATGTAAACGGAGCGGATCAACAGTTGTAATTCATTCGTTTTTTGTGCTTGATGTTGGAAGATGTAGAAAATAAATCAAGACTCAAAATATTTTTCGTCTCTTTCTGCCGACTTCCACAGTATTATATATTTACATATATTAATTGGCTTTTCTATGTATGTGAATGTTTCTGTAAAGTGTCCTGAGACAACTTTGTTGTGATTCGGCACTATAAGTGAATTGAAAATAAATTGAATTAATTAAGATTAACACATATTTCTGAGATGATGAGTCATAATATTGAGATTGCATTTTGTTATAATGAAATATCACACAGTTTTGACTAAACAGCTTACAAAACACTTTCTCAACATTATGCCTTTTTTTTTAATAATTGGCAGTAATGGTCTTCCACACTGTTAAAGCGTGGTCTTCTTCACTCTGCACTGGTTAAATATTTGGACTTGTCACTTTATGAGTGGGAGGATTCGGAGCTCGTGCGTCGCCATCAGTTTGTTGTGCTCTTCCGGTCAAGCTAACAGGCTAGCCCAGCGGCGGGTAGCCTCTCAGTGCAGTTAACATTTATTTATGTAAATAGGGTGCTGCAAGGACTACTCGCATCCGTTTCTTCAGAAGCGGACTTATGGACCCTGAAGCTGGGTAACTACTGCAGTCATTCCAGCGGCTTTTTGGACTTTAAGCGCGTTGTTTTGATGATGTAGCTCCGTTAGTTAGCCAGCAGTCAGTGGGAGCTAGTTGAAGAGTTCGTCTAAGATGCTAACTCACTTTGGTGCGAGTGTTTTTTTTAGCGAAAGACGAAACAATTCAGAAGCTGCCTCGAAATGAGACAACTTCTCGTTTATATCTCCTTACTGATGTTGAGTTCGTATCCGCCGAGTTGTTTGTGAAAACCCTGCGGTGAGCACCAAAGTCGTGGAGGTATTTTCTCGGATCACAACAAAAGGATTTTTGATACCAAGCTGGCAGCTAGCTCAGTTAGGCTAACGATAGCTTCCTCAGCTAAACAACCATTCTGACCTCAACATACACTGCAGGCGCGTTAGCTCGAGTTTGTAGCTTTTGTTTACAACAAAGACTGTTTGGTATTATTCAAGCGAACACCAGTAACTATAATAATGATGTAAGTTCAGCAGGCCCCTCCTGGTCGCTAGCAGCTGGCCTTCTAAGTTACTAAATGTTTACCTTGTTCACACTCATTTGGCAGCATTTTATGAATTATTCGTTTTGCTCATATTATCACAGGAAAGCACACAGTGTGTGTCTTTATATCTGCAAACTAGGTAGTTTGGATGTGAAACCACGTTGATAGCAAACTAAAACTTAAGGACATTCCTGTTGATATTTAGTGCTGCTGTCAAAACAGCTATAATGTTGTTTTATAGCCTAGGTGTAGAAATGAACACTCTTTCTTTGCGGTAAATTACTTTTAAAGTAAATAGTTCTCACTGCTAATATCAGGGTCACTGTGTAGTTTAATTTGTTGTAAAACAAACATTTTAAAAGTCTTTATTGTGCAATCATGTCGGTAAGAAAACAATTTTACTGATTCATATAACTTTAGATTATATGTTCATCGGTGTGATTTGAACTGTCACAGTTGTAGTAGTGTCAGAGAAATGGTTTGTTGAACTCGGACCTCCTTTTCTCATACATACACCATAGTTTCTGCCAAAATTTCACAATTTCCTGCCAAAAGCAGCCAGTTCTTATCTTACTCTGTTTAAAATGTTTGATAAGAACTGTGCATTTACTTTTTATTTTTCTGGCATACACTTAGCTGTGGTTAAAGTTTGTTGGTCCTCTTTATTTATGACATTTTGATTAGTCTCTGATTAATAAGTGCTACTTTTAATTTTACTCACTAAACCATGCCCAGGTGGAACTCACAACTGGTTCTGCATCAGTTCTCATTATTCATTCAACCTTTTATTTATACAGATAAATCACATTGAGCCTCGAAGACTCATTTACAAGTGAGATAATAATTTGTCCACTGTTCATGAGGACTATATGTATAGACAAGGATATAATAATGGTGTATATATACCGTAACACGGTACACCTCTTTGTCTTATTGTAGTGATAATGATAACTATGTTTGTTTTCCTGTGTGACTTTTTGTGCATTCTAATGCATTTGTTGTTCTAATGTTTGATTTTGTGACTTTTCCCAGGTGTCCATATCTATTGAGTGTGCTCTGCTAGCACTGACTTCCTTCCTGTGACAGATTCTTTGCCAGAGGGCTCTCAGAGCAAGGACCAGAACTGTTGCTCCAGGTACCCTGGTTAGTTTGTGGGAAAATTTGAGCTGAGTCTTGTGGAGACTCTCAGCAGATGAGATGTCATCCATATTGCCTTTCACCCCTCCTGTGGTGAAGAGACTTTTGGGCTGGAAGAAGTCAACCAGTGGACCAGGTGTCGCAGGTGGTGGAGATCAGAACGGGCAAGAGGAGAAGTGGTGTGAGAAAGCTGTGAAGAGCCTAGTGAAGAAGCTAAAGAAGACGGGCCAGCTGGATGAGCTAGAGAAAGCAATCACCACACAGAACTGCAACACAAAGTGTGTCACCATCCCGAGGTAAACAGCAAATCTCTGGCTTATTGTTCAAACGTGCATTTTGGCTGTTTATGTACGCCAAGCTCACGTTTCTTTATCATGTATTTATAGTTCCAAACTCTGCTTACAACAAAATAATATCAAAGTTTAGAAAGACTGAAAAACTTTATAAGTGTGCACAAGAGTTGAACATCATATGATAACTGAGGACAACCTGTTCTCTTTATCAGTCAGCCAGTCTTGATGGAGCTTACTCGTGTTCAGTGGGAACATCGTGTTAACATTTGTTCTTCATTGATTTGCACTCAGGTACTTTATCAGATGTTTATGTCTGCAGTGCTTCAAATGTCTTGTAGACCCCACTATTAGTGATGGAGGTGTGTGTGTGTTTTCTCTCATTAAATTGACAAATAAATTGCATAAGATGATTCCAAACTCCCAAATTATCACATGTGAACATAACTACCACTGATATTTGATTGATTTCATTTCATCAGTGATTCCTAGACTTGACACTTTTTGAGATGTATGGATTTATTATGAGGCTGGATTGTTTTGTAATTGCTTTGCTTTTTTGTTAAAAACTGTTGTTGCTAAAAATTTCAAGGGCTTGGGAAAAATATTAGTTTCTTGTCCTGTCATGAAAAGAAGTGAATTAAAGCTTCAAATGGCATATGAAATCCCACTTTATTCATCAAGTCTAGTACATTGTGATGCATATTTTTAGCATAGATGTAAAGAATTTGATTGTCCTGTTATTCAGAAGCAGCTACTCTTTTTTGTTCCTCATTACATTTTTTTTCTTGGTCATTTTCTTGGGAATGTTTTGAGAATGTCTGGAAATAGGTTTGTCCTCAAGGTTGCCTCCTCTTTTTCCTCCTGTTTTTATGCCATTGTGTGTCAGCAGTGTTTTGTTTGAATGTCTCCAGATAATTTTAGTCATAAATGCCCATAGTGAGAGGATTTTCATCATACAATGAAACGGTGCTGTATGCTCCTTGTCTCAATTCGTTGTCTGTGGCAACCAATTCCATCTTCAATTTTCCCCTAATATGGTCATAAAGGCTTCTCTTATTTGAAGTTCCCATCGTTTATTTCTACAACTGAATTTAATGTCTTTATTTTGCCATATGACTCCAATAAAAGAGGTCTTTTAGTGTTCACACACCCATGTTAATATTTTTGGTGAGCCGTGTCTCATGGTTATCTTTTGTGTTTGTGTGTTGTTTTCTTTGCACACAGCAATTGCTCTGAAATCTGGGGACTGAGTACACCAAATACGATAGAACAGTGGGACACCTCAGGCCTTTACAGCTACTCTGACCAAACCAGGTGACTATCCTTTACTTCTTATGAAGTGTTGCTGCTTACAACGTCAATGTGGGAGAGCTGCTGTTACAATGTTGGAGATGACAGATGCAGGCACGTTTGTTTATCTATGACTCAATCTACCCATATCTTATTGTACGTCGTGACCCCCCCTCCCCACTAACATTCTCTTTAGTTGTTTATCTGCTGTTTGTCATCATCTTCTTCTCTTTGCTGTTCAATCAGATCACTACCGGTAGATGGCCGCTTGCAAGTCTCCCACAGGAAGGGGCTTCCCCATGTTATCTACTGCCGCTTGTGGCGATGGCCGGACCTTCACAGCCACCACGAGCTACGCGCCATCGAAGCCTGTGGGTACGCCTTCCATCTCAAGAAGGATGAGGTCTGCATCAACCCCTACCACTACCAGAGGGTGGAGACTCCAGGTGAGAAGAATGTGACCAGTGGGTGTCTGGATACAAATGCATGTGTAGGTGGTAATGATTAGTTAAACCTGTGAGGATGTGTTCAATTTCACTATTTTAAATTTGTTAGCTTGTATAATATTTCTTCATCGTCATTGTGATGAAGCTGACGATGTACAAAGGAGTCAGTTGACCTCGTGCGTTTTTACAAAAGATCAGGGCCACAGTGAAAGACAAACAAAAAAACTGAACAAGGTTAAAATGGTATGCTTTATTACTTGCATATTTTTCATTATTTACTATTTGACTGTACAAATAAACATGAACACATTCTGGTTCAGGATAACAGAAGTTCATTCCCTCCCAGAGCATAAAGTGTAGTTCAGCATGCAGCGTTTGCTTGTTGGTTTTATTGTAGAGCGTCATATCTGCAGAGCAGGATATTTAATTCAACAATGCATCAGTCTGCTGTTTTGTTGCCATTTTTGTTTTTTTATATTTTAATTTTATTTTTGTTTCCAAAGAACAAAACCTCAGTTTTCCCTCCATAAGGATCCAGACTGATTTGTTTACTTAAGGCACATCACGGAGAGCCATTTTAGGGTCATCTTCTTGATTTGGAAGGGATTAAGATGATCTGGGTCGGGTGTTGTTAATCATCATCTTCATCTTTCTTCTGTTCCATCTTCAGTGTCTCCACAGCGAGTCATCCTCCTCCACCTCACTCTGTCCTCACTCCATCTACCTTCATGTCCTCTCTAACTGCATCCATATTTATTAACCTTTATTTATTTAACAGGCAAATCCCACTGAGATCACAGATCCCTTTTGCAAGGGAGGCCTGGGCCTGAAGGCAGCCTAACATGCATGTTTTTACTCTGGTTTTGGTCATGTATCTCCTCTTTGTCTGTTTCCTGGCAGCAGCATTTCTAACATCCTTCTGCCAATATACCCACTGTCCCTCCTCTGGACATGTCCAAACCCTCTCAGTCTGGTCTCTCTAACTTTATCTCCCAGTTGTTCAACCTGTGCTGTACCTCTGATGATCTCATTCCTAATCTAATCTAATCCGTCCTTGTCACTCCTAAGGAGAACCTCAACACCTTCATTTCTGTCACTTCCAGTTCTGTCTCCTGTCTTTTTGACCATGTCTCTGTCTCCAGACCATACAACACAGCTGGTCTCACCACTGTCTTGTAAACTTTTCCTTTGACCTTTGCTGACACACTTTTGTCATGGGTGGCCGTGGTGCAGTGGTAGGGCAGCCGTCTTTGGACCAGAAAGTCGCAGGTTCAACTCTCCACTATGCACACGTCATGGTGTCCTTGAGCAAGACACCTAATCCGTACTTGCTCCTCGGGCACTTGCATAGCTGCCCGCTGCACCACCTGGGTGCATCTCAGGTGTGATGTGTTAAATGCAGAGAACTAATTTCATTGTAAAGAAACTTACAGTGATGACATCATAGACCTTCCACTTAAATCACTCCTGAAACGTTTCTCCATCCTGCCTGGACTCTTCTTCACCTGTTTAACTCCCTGTTTTCCTGGACAGTCGACCCTAACTTTAGGTTGGATGTTGTTAATGATCTAGCTTGTTTCAAACGTTGAATCCTTCGGTGTAATGTTTGGGTCTTCTCGTAATGTTCTCACAGCTATTTTTTCCTACTGAAATGAAACTGGTTCAAAGGCACTTGTTTAATTTCCAGTCAATTAGTTAATGACAAGTTATAAATCATGTAAAAAGTTTTAAACTGGGTTTTCTCTTCTCCCCTCTGCTGCAGTGCTGCCTCCTGTTCTTGTGCCAAGACACTCAGAAATCCTCCCCGAGCTGCCACCTCTGGATGACTACAATCATTCCATACCTGAGAACACAAACTTCCCTGCGGGAATCGAACCTCCTAACAACTATATACCAGGTGGGAGCGTGTGTATTTTCACGTTAGCTCTTCTAATGTCAAACTGGAATCTAGACGTGAAGAAAAAGTTCCTCTAATTTCTGAATACTGCTTATTGTGGCAGATTAAAATAAAAATATTGTAACAACATTATATTTTTTTTATCCCTGGCACTGTTTGAACAGAGACGCCTCCACCGGGCTACATCAGTGAGGATGGAGAGGCCAGTGACCAACAGATGAATCAAAGTATGGACACAGGTACCCAGATTAGTTCATCCTTTTCCCTGAAGTTTCTGTCGGGCTCTTCCTGATGATCATTATGTTGATTTGTTGGAAAAAAAAGAAGCTCATTCTGATGTTGACCCAGTTTATTCTGGGACTCATTTATTTAATGAAATTGGCATTCTTATGTTGGAGGCCAATCTTTTGGTTTAAAAGTTCCCAGATAATTTTTAAATTATTTAATGCTTATTGTTTGGCTGCTGGTTGGGTGTAAGTGCTTGACTGAAATAAAGTTTAGCTTCAGATCTTTAAATTGCTCGTTTGGTGTAATTCAGACACGTTTACCTTTTAGTTTAACTTTAACTCTTTCTAAGTCTACACATTTTTCCAGCTGCAGGTAGAACTGTGGCCATAAAGCTCAAATTATATTAATTATATTTAGTGAGTTTGTTTGCTATGATGAGGAGATGATATCTACACCAGTGTTGTACAACTCTTACTTTTTAAAACAAAACCCACAGGTTTTAAAGTATCCTTGTGGTTTTAATATGCAGGACTACCAGGTTCGTCACAAGACTTGAACTATTTGTTTGTTATGTGATGAACTGCTCTAAACTCTTGGGATTTGTTTGTTTTTGTTTTATTTTGTCAGGTTCTCCAGCAGAACTCTCTCCCAGCACTCTGTCTCCTGTCAATCACAGCATGGGTAAGTGTTCAAGTTAAAAAAATAAAATTAAAAAATCTGCACTGGGTTACAGAGAGATGACGCACACAGATGTAACACTTGTAAGTTTTTGTACATCTGTGACTGTAGCTCTGTGCGGGGTGATAAACTACTGATCTGGATCTTGTCCTGCAGACCTGCAGCCTGTGACGTACTCTGAGCCAGCCTTCTGGTGCTCTATAGCGTACTACGAGCTCAACCAGCGCGTCGGGGAGACGTTCCACGCATCTCAGCCTTCGCTAACGGTGGATGGATTCACAGATCCATCAAACTCTGAGCGGTTTTGTCTGGGCTTGCTGTCAAACGTTAACAGGAACGCCACCGTGGAGATGACTCGAAGGCACATAGGTACGGTCCAGCTGCTGGTCGCTGCACGTTCATCAGCTGGATATTTAGAAAGAAAAGTAGCATTTTGTTTTTGTGTGAAAACTTCTCCTGTTTTACAAACTCATTTATTCTCTTTGAGTGTCATCTGATGTTTGTGTGCTAGCATGAACAGATGGACTGTGCCTGTGTGTTAACAGGAAGGGGAGTCAGACTTTATTATATTGGAGGGGAGGTGTTTGCTGAGTGCTTGAGTGATAGCGCTATCTTCGTCCAGAGTCCAAACTGCAACCAGCGGTATGGCTGGCATCCAGCGACAGTGTGTAAAATTCCTCCAGGTAAGAGACTGGAAACACCATCAAAGTTCAAGAAATGTTACTGGCAGGGGCATTGGGCACAAACGATTTGACTTTGTTTTTTTTTATGCAAAATACATATATTGTTTTATTTTAATATTCTTGATGGTATATCGTTGGATAAAATAAATATCCTTTCATTTTCTACTTACTGAAAATAAAACCACACTTGGGACACGAGAAGATTTGATCCAGTTTACTACTGGCAAGGGCAGAGTCCACACAGACTTACACAGATGTTCAAGTGAAGCTCCGGCCACGAGGTGTGCACCGGACAGAGGCAGGAAGTGCTTTAATACAGACAGGTGAGGTCAAGACGACCTCGGCTTTCCAGCATAGACTCTGAGAAGGCCTTGGAGTTCTCAGTTGCCTCCATGCACCAGCAGGCTCCTCTCTTAACTCGCACATTAATTTAACAGTAGTTACTGATAAACATCCATAACTTTACCCAAGTTCCCTCAACGTATATGTTGACAGAATTGTTTCTGAAGGAACAAAACTGCACTGTAGTCAGTTTCTTGCAGTACTTTGGAGGCTTCATGTGAACCTCAGACCATTTTACAGTTCATTGTGTCAAAACACAGAAGAGTTTTAGTTTTTTGGTTCAAAAAAAGTGAAACATTAAAATGAGTGAACAGTCTGCAGGAATTAGCCGGAGGTGTGCAGCGACAGCACGTTGTTAACCGAAGGCCAGATGCTGTCTAGGTTTCTCTTTCAGGATCATTTGTCAAACACAGTCCTGTTCATCTTTTATTTTTTCAGGTTGTAATTTAAAAATCTTCAACAATCAAGAATTTGCTGCCCTGCTGGCACAGTCGGTGAACCAGGGCTTCGAGGCCGTCTACCAGCTCACCAGGATGTGCACCATCCGTATGAGCTTCGTCAAAGGCTGGGGAGCCGAGTACAGGTGAGAACACACTCTTATAGTTCTTTTAAACTATGTATTGTAAAACCTACAGAGATGGGGAGCGGTGGCGCAGAGGTTAGAGAAGGTGGGCTTGTGATCAGAAGTTCGCCGGTTCAACTCCTGGTACTGACAACATCAAAATGTGGGTGAAAAAGTTGAAGCACCCACACCTGCCTCCACTCTGGGTCCCTGAGCAAGGCCCTTAACCCCCACCATCTGCTCCCCTGGGCGCCCCAGATAGCAGCTCTGCTCCACACACAGGGCTGTGGTAGCTCAGTGGTGTGTGGTTGAGTCAGGAAGGACATCCGGTGTAAAAACAACTGACAAGTCTTCGTGCGAGTTAGTTCACTGTGGTGACCCCTGAAGGAGGAGCAGCTGAAAGAAGAAAAACTAAACAAATTGTAAAACCTACAGATATAAAACATTTTAAAATATAAAATAGGGTTGAGAGATTGGATGAAAACATTCATCATTAGTGCAATAGTTAAATTTTTTAATTATTATTTTTAAGAAGAGGTGATTATTTTATTTTAGCTTGGCGTTTCCCCCCTCACCTATAGATCAATGCACATCATCCAGTTTCAGCACGTAAAGCCTCAAACTTTCTGTTGGTCCACACCTGATGGCAGCTGTGGGACACATCTGTCATTTTATCGCTCGGCACAGATCTGAGTACTGGTTTCAAATGGCACCAATTTCTTTCCAAAGTACATTTCAATTATCAAAACGAGAAATGACAAGATAAGTAAAAAATAATAATGTTTAGAGCTGTAGGCACGTTTGAAGCCCGTATCATGTTGAAGCAAACGTCACATCCCTGGAAGGTTGAGGTGGCTGTTGGCTTTTAAGAGAACTGCTTTGGAAAGAGTCTCCACTAAATGTTAAACGTTCAACAATTGTCACTGTGTTCAGGGGGTAGAGAAAGGTGTTGGTGGGGGGTCTGCAGCTTTTTTAATGTTTTGTTGTAGGTAGTCTACCTAAAACCAATCTGGGAGCACTGGTGGAGAGCAAATTCAAACGGTGTGTTGGGTCAACTCATTTAAAAACGATTTCTTCTTTTCCAGGCGACAAACTGTCACGAGCACGCCGTGCTGGATTGAGCTGCATTTGAACGGTCCCTTGCAGTGGCTGGACAAAGTTCTGACCCAGATGGGCTCCCCATCTGCACGCTGCTCCAGTATGTCCTAAACAGCAAGAGGAACCCCCCCCAAAAAAGTCTATTACAAAATTGATTACTCCCTAAACTTGAGTTTATTTTATTTTTCTTGGGAAGAAAAAATGGAAAGATCCCACCATCTGGTTTTTGTGGCATACTTCACAGTATTTGTGGCCCAGTTTCACCCCCCTCCTTTAACTACACACAGCTGTACTTGTACATGGACACAAAGATTTTATCAATAAGAAAAGATCTGGCACTTTGTTACCCACCTCTGTCATGCACCTTGTTAAATTGCTTTGCCCCAAACTTTTAATCTTAGATCTATTTGTGGTACAAATAAAAATGTATATTGGTTTTAGTCTGGGAAGTAGAGGAGAGACCAAAAATATTTGAACAGTTTCTCATTGTTGAGGATTGCTTATATAAATAACGAGTCTGAATGCTAAAACAGATTTTAGTTCAGCCCAACACATCCATTGTTCGGATTTTATGTCCCATTTTTGCTGAGACTGAGAAACGTGGCCCCGTCTTCTGTAAATGGGAGGCAGCTTGGTGGAGTGGTGGCTTTGGTGAGCTTTGTCCCTCTGAAGGAAATACCAATGAATCAACGATGCCCACCTTTATTTATTGACTTTCAGATACTTTCCACAACTCTAACCAAACTGCATCTCCAGTCTGACTGTAGTTTTTCTTTGTGTCTGGTCTTTATGTGGCGCTCCTTGTTACTGAGTCGATGTGATCCTCACTGAGCGTCCTGGTTATGAAGACAGCAGCCGGCTCTTTGAAGCATGTTGTGTGGAACCAGACAATTTCAGCAGATTTAAAAACAGTTTTATTCTTTTTTTTTTTTACAAAACACTCGGGCTCTCCAAGGTGAAGCGTTTAATGTCTCACCAGGAGGATTTTAGAGGTATTCATTCAGTTCTTAGCTTTTATCCCCCCCACACACACACACTTGTTTTTTTCTGCATTTTTTTGTATTCTTGTGTATTTTTATATATAGATATACATAAAAGTTTCTGTCATTCACTTTTTTAATTAAAATATTTTCAAGACCAGTTATTTCTTATAAAAACAGCTCATTCCCATATTTTATTTCTCCAAAATCTCTAATAGATGATCTTTTTCTAAGTTAAAATAACCACTGCCCCACGTGATTTATAGCCTATATCTAGTCTATTTTTTCCAAAGAAATATGGTGCATTTAAAGTTCACAAAACAACAACTATGTAATTATTTTAGAGGCATGTAGTAAATTCTGTTAATTTTATTGTTTTATTTCCAAACACATGTGACCTCTTCTAGTATGTGCTCAGTCGAACAGGACTGAACTGCTTTAAATTGGATTTCTAAACGAGTGAATGTGCCTGCACACTAAGATATTCTGTGTTAATGTGTGTAACGTGTTCGTTCAGTCTATAAAGTACAGTTTGTACAAGACTTACTACCTTACATTCATTACTTGGCTGTTGCAAGTTTCACATGTCCTCAGTTCCCCCCTCCTTGGTGTAAATGTGTTTACCATGCGGCACTAGAGATTGTACTTTCGGTGCACCTAGTGACGTTCAGATTTTGGGGAACTGAACCGTGTGTTTGGGTCCAGTGTTGCATTGTTTTTATCTTTGGCCTACAACATATGAATGTGAAAGAGGAAAAAAAATTACAAACTCTGACGTGGACCAGATGTGCATATGCATAACAGTAGTACATTATGTGTGTATTTAACAGTAATCTTTTTTTTTTTTTTTTTTTTTTTTTTGCAGAGCAGTCAGTACAGTAGGTGTTGCAATTGTTTTACCAATAGAGGGCGGTGTTGATAGAGCTTTTTCTGACCATAAGCATCTCAGGCGTGTGGCATATTATGCAGACTCCATAAAACACTAATAAAGATTTTTATTCTCATGAACCTGTATGTGTTTATTGCTGCATAAATGAGAAATTACAAATTTCAAAGTGACTCGGTGCTTCTTATCATCTTTGTCAGAGCCTCCATCAGATGTGAAGTAAGAGGCATTAATGACGCCATTAATATTATCAATGCAGAGATTTGGGCTTCTTCAGTCAGATTAAAAAGTTCAACAATGTATGGAAGGTTGTTGTTTACCAGGTCCGAGGATGAAAAATAGAAAAACTTTTTAAAAAATCAGTTTTTCCAGACTTCAAATGGAATAGAAAATAGAAATTGAGTTTCTGAAAGATAAAAATCAGTTCACTTTATTTACCACATAAAGATATAAGTTTAGGATTTTAGCCCTTTAGTGTTTTGGTTTTTGATTGAGAGCCCAAAGTTGCATACACATAGCTTAAAGTGCCTGACATGCATATCGTACAAATACAAAAAGTGGGAAAAAAGCATCTTAATATTTCTGAAAAGTGTCATAATACACATGGTTTTACCCATTTTACAGTATATGTATATCATAACTGGTGTATTTTCTTTTTAACTTGAGGTCAAAGAGAAACAGGAAGTGACATCAAAGGGGAACTCCCTTGTCTTATTTGAAACAATATTTCTTAAACTCTGACTCCTCTCTCTCTGATAGACTCAAAATAATCTAAAGAAACATCAGATTCTTCTCTACTGTTGTTTTCCATTCTAGCCATGCTCTGTTTACATGCAGGTGTCCCCTTTGACATCACTTCCTGTTATTGACGTCATCTATTATTCCACATGCAAATATTGCAACATCTCATCTTTCCAAAAATGCATTTATATTTATTACAAAATGATGTCCAGGCACTTAAACAGGTTTTATAAAATCAAGCTGTTGCAGTGTGGAGCAGTGCTGCTCTACCGGGAATCAAACTACAGACTGATTTAACATCTGTTGATCATCCCAGAGCCCCTCCGTACATCAGCACATCTTCACGAACACCAAGTTTATGCATCAATACCTGCATATTATAAATCATTTTTAATTAAACAGTATTCAAACATTCACTAACAAAGTAGCCCAGCACTAAAACATAAAGTTTTTCTCCCAGTTTCCTGTAAACTGGAACAGTGGTATTCCAAAATAACTTATTTGTGTGTGTGTGTGTGTGTGTGCTTTTATATATATATACATATCTATGAAAAAAATTATCACGCATCATTCATTACCAAACATCTACTGCATTAGTAATAAATTACAAAATCAACAGTCATATTTTGTTGCCAACAATTTTGAGCTGTTTGTTTACATTCAAACTTTGATGAGGACACTTCTGACAGTGCAGCAGTTTGTAAATAATAATAATAAATGAAAATAATAATAAATAATCCCCGGATGTAAGCAGAATCAGAGGGAGAATGATGGATGAGGCCTGGATGAAAGTTAAGAATAAAGTTCTTCTAAAAAAGAAGAGTAAAAATGTTAAGGATAAGAGTTGACAGAATGTGATTATAGGTAATCAAATGCAGATGGTGTTAAAGCAAAAGTTGGTGCTAATATCATAAACGAGTTGTGCTGAGATAGTTTGAATTACTTATGTAAAGTTTAGATGTAAACAAAGGCCAAGAACATTTGCTGTTTGTCAACACAACTGTTATGAAAACCGTGTTGAGTTTAGGTTACAGTAACTCACAAACAAACATTTATTGATGTAGAAATTGTATTAGAAGTAATATCAAATTTTAAACGGTGAAAAAGCTTGATTTTTGACCGCTATTATAGATTTAAGATTTTGCACAAAAACATATGATTTTCATTCAGTTACTCATAAAAAGCAAGGAGAGATATAACTTAAATACATAATTTTCCTTTGTGAATGCTTTAAATCTTAAAGGTGGATGCATGAAAACATTTGTATTAACACTTAAGCATTAAAGTTTTCTTTTTTAATTCAACACGATCGTTTTCTTTACAAACTGCAGTCTGGGGTTATACTAAATAAAAACTTAGCTTTTATATTTAATTTTTTAGTCCACATATTTATCATAAACCCCTACATATTACATTTGAAAATGTCTTTCCGTGTTCGATTAGCAAATCCGCGACTTGAACACGTTTATCTTTCCTCGGCTTCCGTACACTACGTCATACGTAAATATTAGCTTTAGCCACAATTAGCTCTTGAGAACAACCATGGCATTTACGTTGTATTCTCTAATTCAAGCAGCCATCCTGTGCATTAACGCTGTGGCTGTGTTACACGAGGAAAGATTTCTCAGTAAAAGTATGCAGCTGTCTCTATCACCCATGAGTTGTTTTTCTCTATAAGTCGTTTTCGTGAACAGTTATTTAAGCTAGCTCAGTCGTTAGCTTGTGCTAACCTGCCTATGAACATTTCAGGAAGAGTATGTTTGTGATTTATCATTATTTAAAGTTAATACACTCGCGTTATTGAGGGTTCGGTAACGTTTAAGTTTATTTAAAATCGCAGCAATGTTGCGTTTGTGCCACTGACCTCGCAGGTGACGGAAATGTAATTGTCATGGATTATAACAGGTATAATTGGTTTTCTTTGTCTGGGTTTAGTTGGCTGGGGAGTGGACCAAAGTGTTGGAGGATTTGGTGACGAACCAGGCATCAAAACGCAGCTGATGACCCTGATCCGGTCTGTGAGGACAGTGATGAGAGGTGGATGTCCACACAAACTAACAATGTGCAATAATGTGTTGATGTGTAACAAAAATCAAATGAACCGTGTCTCCCTGCAGTGCCACTGATAGGAGTGAACTCAGTCTGCATCGTGCTGCTGCTCCTGTTTGGATGAAGAGTGACTGAGGTCCGGTCAAACAAGCAGCCAGGACATGTCCATCTGCTCAGGAAGACCTGGGTCCAGAACCAGAAACACACACACATCAGCCTCAACACGAATGTCTTTCTAAGAGTTAAAATCTGCTGAGCTGAATTTAGTTTGAACTTTTTCCAATCAAATGTTATTAGCTCAACAGGTTTTTACATTTGACATATTTATACTAGTTTTGACTGGTGAAAGAGTGATTTGCTGGCAAATGATGTAAATAAATCCTGAAAGGGATGTTTTTGTCAAGATGCTTAATATTAAAGTGTTTTCAAGATGTTTTTGTGCTGTGTTTCATGAAGTAGGATCAACACTGAACCCAAACACACCAACGTAGACAGGGTCGTAAAACTGCTGAATCTATCCTGATGCATGCTCAATAATCCAGGTAGAAAATCTAAAAAAGTTGTGTGGTCCTCTGCTGAATCTAACAGCCAAAACCAACAGGGATTGAGATCACATCAATAACAAACACGTTTGGGTACGTTTTTACACTAAGAATTGTTTTACATTTAACTTTGTAGGTAAATAAAGTCATCACAGTATAATATTTGTTTCTTGGAACACTTGAAAAACGATTTTATGTTCCCAGTATCTAAAATTTTTTTTTTGTTTGTTTTTTGACAAAAACTTTTGCACGCTAACAACAATAGGACCACACATTTCAGTTTACAGTAGAAAATGAAAACTGCTTACGAGTTTTCATTAACAATACGGATTAATGGATGGACTTTAATTCAGTTCAATTCAGTTTATTTATATAGCGCCAAATCACAACAAAGTTGTCTCAGGGCACTTTACAGGAACATTCACATTAAAGCCAATTAGTAAAGTTCTCTATCTAAGGAATCCAGCAGACAAGTTGAATCTTGACTTCGTCACAGTCTCCCATCCTGAGCAAGCACAGTGGCAACAGTGGAAAGAAAAACTCCCTTTTAACAGGAAGAAACCTCCAGCAGAACCAGGCTCAGGACAAGCAGCCGTCTGCTTTGACCGGCTGGTTGAGAGGACAGGAAGGAGAGACAGACGAACACACAACTTTATTATTCCCAGATGCAACAAGTGGAAAAAAATTGCAAGGTCAAGGTTTCTTTTGTCATTCGCATCAGTGCTACGTGGTGGATTGAAACTGTGTACACGGGGTCCCCGTTACATCCACCAAAATATGGGGCCGAGATGGTGCAGGGGTAGGGCAGCCGACTCAGGACCCGAAGGTCCTGGGTTCGATCCCCGGTCATTGCACATCTCATGGTGTTTGAGCAGGACACCCAATCCTGAATTGCTCACCGGGCATCTTGCGTAGCTGCCCACTGCTCCACCTGAGTGTAGCCTAGGTACAATGGGTTAAATGCAGAGAGGCACTTTATAAAATGTAAAAGAAAAACAGTAATAAGATCCAAGATATGAACCAAGAAAAATGCTAAGCACTAATAGTACAAAAAACAATACACCAAACAGCAGCATGAACATGAGTCTGTGTGAGCAGATGAGTATGAATGAATACAGCAGCATGAGATCAGCAGCATGGGTAGTCAGCAGAACATATCAACAATTAAAGTGGCATTACAGTGATTTTTTTCTTCTTCTGTGATTATGCTGATTAGAAATTCATGAGTCTTAACAGCTTCAGGGTAGAAGCTGTTCCTCAGTCTAGTGATTCTACACTTAATGCTCCTTAACCTCCTTCCTGAGGGGAGCGGTGAAAAAAGTGTGTGCTGGGTGAGTGGGGTCCTTCATGATGCAGGTGGCCCTCTTCCTGCATCTGGAGGTGTAGATGGCTGTGATGGTGGGGAGACTGACTCCAACATCTTCTGTGCAGCCTTCACCACTCTCTGCAAAGCTTTTCTTTCTGCAGCTGTGCAGCCTCCATGCTACACGTTGATGCTGGAGCACAGGATGCTCTCCACTGCACACCTGTAGAAGGAGGTGAGGACTGAGCTTCCCAGACCAGCTCGTCTCAGCCGTCTGAGGAAGTAGAGTCTCTGATGAGCTTTCTTGATCAGGCTGGTGGCCCCAGCTGAGGTCGTCATTCAGGTGTACACCCAAGTACTTGTAGCTGGAGACCACTTCCACTGCAGATCCTCCTATAATTTTTTTTTTGGGGGGGGGGGGGGTTGTTCTGTCTGAGGTCCACTACCATCTCCTTCGTCTTCCTCACATTGATGTGAAGGTTGTTTTTCCTGCACCAGCTCTCCAGGTGTTCCACCTCCTGCCTGTAGCTGGACTCGTTGGTTTTGATGCATCCCACCACCGCTGTATCGTCTGCAAACTTTACAGTGTGACAGCCTGGATGGGTAGGTGAAGGTGTACAGTCATGCGTGAGCAGAGTGAACAGGAGGGGGCTCAGCACACAGCCCTGGGGGGGAGCCAGTGCTGAGGATTATGGTGAAGGAGGAGAAGTTGTGGATCCTCACAGGCAATGCAATACAAAACAATTATAATAACAGAGTGAAAAGGATGCAAATGAGAAAAATATTAAACCTGCAAAATTTGAATCAAACTGAAATATGTTATGAATTGTGCAAAAAAAAAAAAAAGATTCAAATTGTCTAACAATTCTTCCAGGCTATCTGATGGGCACTTTTCCAAGCCATTGTCAGAGCATAATTTGACCTTAGTGCCCAGAGAGGAAGTTCATCAAAAATATTGGCTGGCCCTTTGGTTGTTTTATTTGTTTTTGGTATACAGTACACCTGTATGTTTGTACAGTACATATGTCTGTAAACCTTCGCTTTTCCTGTCCATAACTTCTGATCTGCTGAAGAAAATTTCACAAAATTTCATACACATTTATAACACGCTTAGTTGGAGTGTCTTGTAATCTTTTCATCGCTCCAGCTCTAAGATCAAGATCACAAATCAAATTCAAATGTTGTTTAAGGTATTTGCTTGTGGACCATTACTATAGATTTATGTATAATGTATTTTGGTGTAAAATGTGCCACATGCAGTACTCTTGTTTTACAATATATTTGGTAAAAAACTTGTAAATGTCTGAGATAGAACTGTCAGTGTATATTTCCAACTTTTAGTCCCTCAAAATGGACGCCTCATCGCAGGGGGCGGAGGCACAGTGGTCCTGTTTGTTTGTCCTTTAGGGCTTGCCGTACAAGTCCCAGCCTCTAACACAGTAAAGATACGTCATGGGGAACACACAGAGCTGTGTTGTTGCTGCGCTCTCTTTATGTTCTTTGTGTTTAGTCAATTTTTATTTTTACCGTTCCCATAAGTTCCTGAAAACAAATATTCTGAGCGGCGACAGGCTTCCAAGCTTTGCGTATCTTTACGTCAAATACCTGAGCAGAGTTGTGACGCGGAGGGCGGGCTACCTGTACAGCACACGCGCAGCAGCAGAGCCCGTGTACACGGCGGTGGACTGCAGGTGAGCAATCTGAAGACGACGGGTGAATAAAGACACAGCAGCGGTGCTCATGGTCCGTGTGTTGTCCTAAGGCTGGACGTCCTGTCGGTGCGGAGGTTCTGCAGCTCTGCGGGGTATGGCTGGGATTATCCAGACTCTGACTACACAGACATCCCGCTGTGCTTCCCCGAGTTCCTCTGTTGCAAACTTCTGCTCATTTTATTCACTGATGGAAACTTCAAAATCAGCCCAGCAGGTAAGACCCATTAAAGTGTACCATCATGTCCAGCTTCATACTTAAGACTGTAACTGTCGTTTAATTTTAATTTAATTTAATTTTTTAATTAATTCAACCTTTCTTGAGACGGGTTAGTCCCACTGTTGTCATCATTCTTTGTAAAAATCAGGTCTCTCTTGTAAATGAGTTCCCAAGACTCAATAGTGAACAACAGTCACAAAAGAGGCACACACATTTAAATTTTTTTTACAAACCAGAACAAAATAGCAACCAAAAGGACAGTCAAAAGGAAAAGTAGTGAGACAAAACCATGTAGAATATAAAGCGGTGTAGAAAACTAAAAACAGGAACATGTCTGCATTGGTGGTTCTTGCCAGGAACTAACAGATGTTTAAAATCATTTAGAGAGGTCGAGCTCGAGAGCTTCAGATCTTTTTGCAAGATGTTCCAGGAAACAGGAGCGGAGCAGGAGAAGGACCTGAGGGAACACTGCAGGTAATAATGTCCTGAGAGCGCACGCTGTAGCTGCACTCACACAGAGACATGTAGGAGGAGATGTATGAAGGCAGGAGACCAAGAAGTGATTTAAAGATGAAAATGTACCAGTGGGAGAGTCTGAGTGAAGTTAATGATGACCAGTTAACCAGTGAATACAGGGTGCAGTGGTGGGTACGATAGTTACAGCCAGTTATGAATCTTAGTGCACCATGATAGACAGCATCCAACATCTGCAGGGTTCTTGTAGGAGCGTTCATGGAAATAATGTCACCGTAGTCCAGTCCTTCTCAAATAGTGGGGCGCGCCCCCCCGGGGCAATGCCAGTGGGGGCGCAGGTGACCCCCAGGGAACAGTCTTTTTTTGCCGGGAGTAGTTTTTTTTTTTTTTTTCACCGTTTTCATTTTGTCGCGTGCATTCCGGCAGCTGTTTGCTCATTTCTCAGACTTACTAACAATAAATTATGAATTAATATTGCGCTCTTGTTGTTTTGGGAGCTGTGCTTGAACCGTGTCGCTCCCGTCTGCTGCTGAGACGATAAATAAATAACTCCGACACCTCCGCTGCTGTTTTTATGTCCATGCGCTCTGGACCTAACTCACAGCACGCAGGCAACTAATGCCCCTTTTCCACCGTCACGGCGCGGGTCGGATATTTCCGGCTTGAAGCGCGTTTGAGGTCTTTCCACTGTTCCTGTGACCGGCTCGCCTCGCTAAATTCTGGCCCGGCTTCTCAAGGGTTCCGAGCGAGCCGCGCCGTGACGTCAGAAACACTGTCGGTCACTGATTGGTCGGGGGGAGGAGTCTGTGGAGTCTTTCCAAACAACCCGATCCACCATTTTTTTCTCTACCGCTTGCCATTAGCGATAACATGAGGAGCGTATCTTTTAGTATTTTGAAGCTATACAACAACAATAATATCAAAGCCGTGGTCAAATGCAGAAGTGCAGGTGTTGTTGTGCTTGGTGGCCAACGAAAAAAGTCAAAGCGAGCTAGATGGAGGATTGGAGGGTGGTTTGGACACGACTACTGCTCTACTTGAACCATTTATAGAAGATGGTGAGTGTTTTCTAACTTTAAACATATTTTAAATTACTCATCCCATCGGTTCTGAACATATTTTTAACTAACAAAAGA